CAATTCTTTGAGTAACCACTGAACCACTGAAAAGTTAACACAAAGTGATGTAGTCAAAAGGCCAGTTAATAAATTGGAATTGAGTATTAAAAAATATTCACGTAATCCAAAAGAAGCCAGGTAGGAGGGAACAGAAGAAAACAGAGAGGATAAGCAAAACACAAATAATATCAAGTATTGTATACTTGAAGAACTGCTAAGAGAGTATATTTTCAGTGTTCTTACCTAAAAAAAAGTATGTGAGGTGATATATATGTTAATTAACTTGATTTATTCATTCTAACATATATATATATATACCTCAAAACATCATTTGTATACCATACATAGATATAATTTTTTGTCAATTAAAGAAATTATTTTTAAAATAATAAAGTTCATGTAGCTGGGTGTTTCTCAAAGTTTATTTAAAAATATAAATAAATATTTTTCACGCAGGTATGGCAAAAAGTGAAATAAAATGAACGATTCCAGTTCAGAGGGGTCAGGTGACTTTCCCAGAATCACACAGAAGACTCCAATCTTCCCCAACTCAATCTGGTTCTCTTTCTGTTGCATTACGTGCTTAAAAACTGTTCTTTAAAATATTTTGTACCATAGATATTATTTACGTCCTTAGTATTTTTATGTTTCCCAATTACAATGTGGGTAATTTGATTCTTTCATCATTGATAGAAATTAGATAAGAGAAAAAATCTGTAAATTTCTGAATTCAACTTTATAAAGAACATCAGAAATATTAAATATCTAGAATTATAGCATTTTGAAATTATGAAAAAATATAAGTATTATAAAATCATTAATGGAATTCAGGTCCTTTACATTTTGTGGGCTGTAAATATTCAGAAAATTTTTAGAAATTGATGTTCCTCAATGAGACACATGGACATCTGGGAGGGGAACAACACATACTGGGGCCTGATGTGAGGGAGTGGAGAGAGCATCAGGAATAACAGCTAAGGGATGCTGGGCTTAATATCTAGGGGATGGGTTGATCTGTGCAGCAAACCACCATGGCACACATTTACCTATGTAACAAACCAGCACATCCTGCACATGTACCCAGGAACTTAAAATAAAAAATGATTAAAAAGAAGAATAAAAATAGATATAAAAACAAATTGATGTTCCTAAAAGAAACAACAGATTCCTTTTAAAATGTACTTTTAGTATATCTAAGTACCTTTTCAAGTAGTTAAATTTTTTTTTTTTTTTTTGAGACTGAGTCTCACTCTATCGCCAGGCTACAGTGCAACCTCCAACTTCCTGGTTCAAACAATTCTCATGCCTCAGCCTCCCATGGTTAAAAAATTCTAAAAGTGGATGGCTTGGTAGCTCACACCTGTAATTCCAGCACTTTGGGAAGCTGAGGTGGGTGGATCACCTGAGGTCGGGAGTTGGAGACCAGCCTGACCAACATGAAGAAACCCCATCTCTACTAAAAATACAAAATTACCTGGGCGTGGTGGTGCATGCCTGTAATCCCAGCTACTCGGGAGGCTGAGGCAGGAGAATCGCTTGAACCTGGGAGGGGGAGGTCGTGGTGAGCCAAGATTGCACCGTTGCACTCCAGCTTGGGCAATGAGAGCAAAACTTCATCTCAAAAAAAAAAAAAAAAAAAATTCTAAAAGCAATGTAGTCAAGTGCTTAAGTAACATGATGATCATATCTAAAGTTTGAATAAATGTTGAGTCATGCCAACAGGAACAAATCATAAAGAAAATGTAAAGAAATATCAAATTGGGTAAAATGAATTGTATATTCATGATGTACTCACTGAAACATTGTTCGTGGGTTTTTTTGTTTTTCCTGATTCTTACTGAGTCTACATATTTCTTTTTAATTTTTTCTTTTTATGTTTCCCAAGTTTGCAATTCACATAAAATTCCCACTGAAGCAGACAAAAAAAGGTGAAACAAATATTTCACAGCTCTCTGGAGATTTGAATGGGTTTTTACAAGAAAAGCTTGATTACTGAAAAGAGCACAGGAGTGCCTGAAACCTGACATCAGGAACAGAGAGCAGGCAGTTCTAAAGATTCCAAGGGAGACTTAGAACCTTGTGGAGTTGATTCAGTGTCTCTTCAACCCTGGTACCCAGGCCAAGCACCAAGCCAGGAAGAGTCCGAACAGCTCTGGACATGGCTATGGTGGCCAAGCAAACTAAAAAAAAAAAATCACTTGGAAAAGATGTGCAAGGTTGTGGTTTCCTGATAAATTAAGATGACATAGGCAGTACCACAGGGTTTGCTTCATTACATGATTGTGAAATTTGGACTCAAATAGAATGAGGCAAACCCACAAGTTTAAGTGTTTTTAAAGTGGCTCAATAATCACTTTGAAAACAGAACACCCTTTCAGTCAGCATGACGGGAACTTTGATCAACAAATACCCATGAGCCACAACCCATCGTTTGTGAACCAGTAGTAAGTATCGAGGTGGGGGTGGGCTTACAGTGCACTGAATGCTCTTCTTCTTTCATCATGAAAGGAGGTGGTTTTGTGTTATGTGATATGTTTTTCAGAGATTCGGTAGGAAACTTGCACCCAGTGAAGGATTTATAAAGGTTATAAGAGATAACACAAAGCTATTTTATCTCTTCTAAAAAAAATTCAAAGGTATTAAATTTTTTCTACTTCCCCATTTTGTTTCCTCATTAAGAATTAGCTGCCAAAAATATTATCCCCGATCTGGGCACAAGGTCAGTTGGAATACATTTTTCTTCTCATTTTCATCTTCTGGATTCCTTGATGATCTGATTTTGGACAAATTCATGCTGCAGAGATAAGGGTTGATTGGCTACAAACCAGGGGTCTCTGTAGAATGGGAATGGGAAACAGAGAGAGAGGAAGAGGAGGACACCACAAACCATCTTATCTTTTGAAAATGTGATGGGTGTATTTACAACATTGGCTCACCTTTCCTTATGCTGTACATAAATTTCGTGCAGGTATAAGCTCATCCTACATGTGTCATTTGGGCCAGACCAAAGCTGCTCTCACGGAGAACTCAGACCACAGCTTGGGAACCATTCATCTACCACAGAGTCACATGACTTCAAATGACTCCTCTAGGGACTGCCTGCTGTGCTGGGCTATCAGCTCTTCCTCTGAATTCCCAATCCATTTCTTGAGAACTGTTTCTAATACCTTTCCAACGATGATTTATTCATTCATCCATACATTTAAAATATAGACTTTTTCTTTAGCATCTACCATGTTGAAGATCCTCCTGTAACAGTAGGAATACATCACTGAATAGAACAAAGTCACTGATTTCATGGTGTTTACACTCCAAGGGGGAACTAGTCCTTCTTAGAATAGAACACCATATAAAGTTGTAACACAGCGAGTGAAAGTGCTCTGGCCAAGGCTGAGACCACAGTCTACCATGAGCTCCTTGCATTGTGAAGAATAAATATTTCTTAAGCACGTAACTGTGTAAAGTCCTAAAATATATTTTCTTCCTCATTGGATGGGAAGTTGAGCAAGAGGCTTTCTGAAGTGTCTATTAAAACACAGACTATTTGGTTGTCCACTTTGGCATGTAGTGGATTATCTGCACATTTTTGCCTAGAGATCACTTAATTTGTGGCATAGAAAAACTCTGTATTCAAGAGATCTCTTGAAATAACTTGGATTTGGTGTAGGATGATGAGGAGTTTCTAATAAGACTTGTAATGCAGTAGAAAGATCTAGGCCTAGGTTCAAATCCCATTGTTTCCCACTAACCAGAGCTTCCTCAGTAAGTTGGGGTTAATTCATTTCTCCTAGTAGTATTGTAAGAATTACACTGATTTTATTTAACAAATTTTTATGAGGTGCCTGTGGTGTACTAGGCACTGACCTTGCTACTGTGGATATAATAATAATAAACAAGACATAAAAAGGTCACTGCTCCATAAGGTGATCTACTCTTGACCTTGCCCTTTTGTTTCCTCTGTCTTCCTTTTTTTAGAGGGGAAGAAGGTCACGTGGGAATTAGTTAAATCATTTGTGGGTAGTAGACAAGTACCAACTTTGTGGGAAACCCTCTAGCCTTTTCCAGGTACACCCTGACAATCTCAGAACTGATCAGGTAAAGCCAGCTCTGAGATAGACCCTTCTGTGGCCTGTCAGGAGAGCAGAGCAGGAAGAGCAGAATCCAGGCCAACCTGTTATCTGGACTGGCAGGAATGGGAAGAAGCATTTCCAGATCCCAGCTGAACAACCAAACCATCACCTATGTTCAAAGGACTTCCTATTGAATGCATTTGAAAATGATTTGCAAACTTTAAATAATGTCTTTATTGTTTAAAGCACTAAATATTAAAAAAAATAATAAAAGTCAGTAGATTCTCCTTTAGCACCTCCTCACCCTCACCATTCTTTTCTTTCTCAGCACAATGGCATTACTGTTCTAAGCACTCAATAGTATTCAATATCTTACACACTTTTAAGAAAATCTTAGACACAAGAAAAAAGTTTATTTGTAAGGTGAGTTAACCTTTGTTTTTAAAAAATGGGTTGGGTCATATATAAACCTTACAAAAGGTTAATGCATAACACACAAATATAGTTCAATTTCCTTTTTATGTGATTAGAGAAACTTATCTACAGAGTTGTCTATGACATCGACAAAGGAGGTGATGAAAAGGGTAATACAGTTCATGCTGTTCGATGGTTCCTTAAATTAAAGAACATCGGGTACATTAGTGTGATTTCTCTTTCCTCTTTCAAGTTCTGTATTCACCACTCTATGCCCTCCAGGTTAGCTGAGTTTAGAGCTCTGGAATAAGGACTAGTTGAATTTGCTGCAATTTTTAAATATGCCTAGCACAGGGGCCAAGGGAAAACTTCCCTTCCACTCTCTGAAGGTGCACTGAAAATCAGCTGGCAATAGGCAGATCAGTAGGAAAAATGGCATGCCAATTACTGGTATCCACGAGAGGGAATCACAGAGTGATTGCCTCATACCCCGTGGGGTAGAGATGTTTATATACCCTGCATCTTAAGGGAAAGGGAAATGGAGACATATAGGTGATTTTATGGGGGCAGAAAACAATTTTTAGGGGAACTCACTGGGTGTGAAGAACATACAATGTCCTGGGACAGTCTGTTGGGGTCTGCAGAGTGGACAATGGTCTGTGACAGAGTCTGTCCAGGAGTGTTGACAGATTTCAGTCTTCCTTCCTGTGATAGATGAGTTAATGGAAACTCAGGGAAGAAACAAAGGTAATTGCTTTTTTTTTTCTCTTTGGTGGGTCCAGACCTTTGGCAGATAAGGAAACTTCAGAGAACGAATTTATCCTGTGCTTTTTTGGAGACAGGAAGGGGAGGAGGTCAGGGAGACCTTGAGGCTGCCTCTGTTCAGCATGTCAAAGTGCCATATTTAAGAGTATCACTTTCTGAGCCCAACACTAGAAACATGAACATGTTAACAATTAAGTTAAAAGGGAGAGAGAGAGATGAACTGAGTGAAGTACATTGTAATCCTTCCTGAGGTTAAGTTCATGATAATTGGCTCTCGCGCAATTCTGTTCATCCTCCAAGTGTCAGGGAGAAGTCTTTACTGCTCTTTCTAAGAGAACTTAGAGATACTGTGGCAGGGCAGGAAACTAGAAGCAGATAGCAATGTGGACAATCTGACTTTGTTGGGAAATGACTAACTTGAATACAGTGGAATTCAACATCTGCAGATAGTTTCTGGTTGCTGGCTTTTATCGGTTTTTATATCCATGTGGAGTGGTGGGGCTGTGATTTAGAAATCTGATGGACTGTGAATTACGTTTTTCACCTTTTAGTTTAAGGATTGAATATGACACCATTGGGTGGAAGAGCACCATCAGTTGGATTTAACTTTTTTTTTTTTAGTGACTGAGAGACAGTGCATCAGCTGTATTTTGTATTTATTCAGGTTTCATAGTGCTGATTCAGGAACAAGTGTCTTTGTTTTATGTCAAATTCTGGGTCTTTTTCAGCAGAAATGAATCAAAGAGAATCATAGAAATGTGAGTTCACTTTTTTAAAGGAAACAGGAGAATCTGGTGTCAGAGCTTTTAGTACAGAGTTTCATATTGATGAGAGCTGTAGCTATTTCCTAGAATTCTCACAGGTTAATTACAACCAGATTTGTTTTTTGTGGCATTCACATCCCATCCATTTGTCCAATGCTCATCCATTCTTCCAACTTCTCCATCTCCATGAGCATCATTTCTTTTTTCCAACGATAACCACACAGGAAAACAATAGACTCAACTTAGAAACATCAAAACAGTCAAAGCAGTCTTTCTGAAAACAAGGCCCTACATCCCTTTGCTGTCCCTGAAAACTCCCTGAATGATGTTTTTCCTATGTTGAGCTCTTCAAGATCCATATTCTTAGACACTGAGCCAAAAATAATGGGCTTGCCTTTCCCTATGTGGGACCTTGCCCTATGACCTAAGCTGCCCACACAACCACTGAGCAATAATCCTGTTGGCCTCTTAGAGGGAAATGATGAAAACAAGAAATTGTCCCTCCAACTTGAGAGTTTTTTTTCCCATAAGTCTTAAACTTAATGAGAGCAGTAGGAATGCCTCGTGGCCTTAGTATAAATATAAAAATGATTAATTGTAACAATAGAGAAGAATTCATAATTCATAATTATTTTCATCTTTCATGTTGAATATTTCAGGGTTTGGTAAAAATTTGCATTGACTTTTTTCCCTGTAGACTAAATTATCCACAAGTATTATATATCACTACATTAACAGTAGTCAGAATTGTATGTTCAGCATAAACACCAAAGTATATAACTGAATATTTCTACAGATACAGTGGTAAAAGGTAATTTTGTTCACATGAATCAATGAGTTTCAGAAGTACGGGTGGCAATTCAAACTCTACTACTAAAACCCTCCCCTTTGTGCCTCTCCAAGAATCAAGGCTATAATTCTTAATACTTGCATGTTCTTTGGGAAGTTACTTAACTTTTATTTCTTCAGTTTTCTCATCTGTGAAATGGAGCTACTAGTTTCTACTGCACAGAGGTATTATGAGCAGTACAAGTATTAGAACAATGCCTGTAGTATGGCAAGCGTTCAGTGCTAGCTATCATGTTTATTGAAGCTTCCTAATTCACACTGTAACTTCTGTGCCTAAAATGAAGATCCAGGAATAAAGAAATCTCTGAAACAATTTCTTAACTTCAGCACCATTGGCATTCTGGGCTGAATAACTTTTTGCTATGGGGGCACTTTTCTGTGCATTGCAGATGTTTAGCAGCCTCTACTCAGCAGGTGCCAGGAGACTCTCCCCATTTCCGTCATGACAAGCCTATATGTCTTTAGACATAGCCAAATGTCCTCTGGGAGAATGAGGGAAGGGACAGAGGCAAAACTGCCCCTGACAAGGACTCTTGAATATTCAAAAATTTAAAACATATGTCTGAAGCAGATTTGCTTTATCAATGGCATTGCCCAAACATTGCCTGGAGAGATTCAGCATCTATTTCTTTTTTAAGAAAATAATTTCTGATAGGATAATTTAGTTACAATTTTGGGGGGAAAATGTGAAATAAGAAAACAAAAGGGAAAGAAGGGAGAGAGAAAGGAAGAAAAAACAGGAGGGAAGGAAGGAAAGGAGAAGGAAAAAGGAAGGAAGATTAAAAGAGAGAAAGACACTTAATTGTACAAGAAGAATTCTCTATCACTTAACTAGAAACCAGGTCCTCTCTTCCTGTAGGCTACAACAATTTCCAGGTTTTTTTTAGCTAATCTATAGTAACTGAAATCTAGACGCTTTCTCTACAACGCATTTGCCTTAAAAGATTAAGGAAAATCCCATTAGATGGTTGGTGGCCTGCGTTTTGTTAAGTAGGACATGCGGGCTAACTTAAAGATTAACCACTCCTTTTAGTGCTCACTTCTGAAATGGACCTTGTTGGAGGGAGAAAAACAGGAAAGATAAAAAAACAACTGCAAATGCCCATTCATTCTGCTCATGAAAATTGCTTTTAGTATTTATTTACCTCCACGTCTTTGTTAGACAGGACCTGTATTATTGTCTTGCTCATCTATTTTTATTCCTTTTGACAAAAACTCACATTCTCTTCTAATCACTATGGTATAGTTTAAATCAACCTCCCTAGTGCTCAGGTTGGTGTCAATAAAGCTAACTTGGCAGTTTAGCTTTTGAAAATTGATGAAGAAGAACAGCTCAGATTTAATTCTAACCAGCAAAATGTGACTCTGATCCCTAAAAATCCCCAATACATCCTTCAGGCAAATATAAATGCATATCTTAAAATATATTAAATAGTCCAGCCCAAACTCAGTGCTACATTCAGAAAACATCAGCCTAATATCCAAGAGTAACGAAAAACAATGCAAATTTTTCTTTCATATTCCTTAAAAATGCCAGGAGGGAAATTATGTTCATAATGCATATGAACAAAACAAATTGAGGGGGTTGGTTGGTTTATAGAATAATGAAATATGGAACTATTCTCAGAGTCAAATAGTTACATGAAATTTAGAAAAGAAGGTAATTTTCATTGTCTTTCTAGTGAGTAGCTTGGCTATGTGTGATTCTTCTAAACTTTTATGAATGTTTGTACCAAGATGAAGTTAGAAAAGTTGGAAATCAATTCAGATGCTTTCTTTCCTTTTTTTTTTTTCCTTTTTGAGAAAGGGTCTCACTCTGTCAGCCAGGCTGCAGTATAGTGGCATAACCATGGTGGCAGCTTCGACCTCCCAGGCTCAAGTGATCCTCCTGCTTCAGCCTCCTGAGTAGCTGGGACTACAGACATGCACCACTGTACCTTGCTAAGTTTTTGATTTTTTGTAGAGACAGGGCCTCTCTATGTTGCCCCAGGCTGGTCCCCAACTCCTGAGTTCAAGGGATCCTCCCCACCTCGGCCTCCCAAGCCACTACTTTCATTCAATTCCATTCAACTCTTCCATTACATTCAATTCCAGTTACCTTTGCCTTCTGTGTTCTTTGAAAGCATGAGGAAAATGCCAACCTCTATTTAATACTATATTTTGAATGGCTTTCAAAAATCACACAAGTGGTTAAAAGTCCAGAGGGATGCCACATCAGTGTTCACAACCTATTAACTTTTAACACATTCTCCCATGTGTGCCTTGTGCTTTGAAAGATTTGTCTTAAAACACAATTAGTCTTAAACACTGCATTCATTATAATAATGCCATTTTCTTTTTTTCAGAGTTTTTGTTCCATGGGAGATACCCATGCCACTTGAAAAAACAAACTATCCTGACATCTACTGACTTTGTGAATGATTTTAACAGCAATAACAATGGAGATGGAAGAAGTTTTGAAGCAGTACTAGTTCCACAGCTTTCGTGTAAGATGCCATGGTTTTGGCATCCTCAGATTGGCAATGATATTGAATAACTTCTAAGGTCTTTCTGAAATTGTGTGATTCTTTTCTAAAATAGGAGTATCTTCAAAAGATGGATGGACATTGAGTGCTACTGCATGACAACATTCTTGTATAATAAGATATAATAAGATCCTTTCCCTAGAAAATGGGGCAAATTCAGATGGAATGAGAGAAAGATTTCAAGGTTTCAGTGGAATATGCTTATATTGGGAACTGTATTAGTTAAGACTAGCTTTGGTTGCATGTGACAGAAAACCCAACGTCGTCACTTATACAGGATTAAAATGTGTCCTCATGAAAGTCTAGAGATGGTATGTAGCTCTGAGTGTCAGGGATCAAGACTCCTTCTAACTGGGAACCCAGCTTTCCATTCCAAAGATTGCTTCATATTCAAAATGGCTGCTGGGGCTCCAGGCATAGGGTCCACCTTCCATCTAGAAGAACAAGAAACCCAAAAGGAGCATGTTCTCCCCTTTAATGATGCTTTCATAAGTTAAATAGGATGTTTCATACGCATCTCACTGGCCAGACTGGTTAGAACTTAGTAATTGGCCACAATCAGCTGGAAAGAAGGCTGGGAAATAGAATATTTAAGGTGGTTGTTGTAATCAGCTAAAAAATCATGAGTTACATAATATATAGAAGAGGAGAACAAGGACAGAATGACAACTAGCAGTATCTGCATATCATTCTTCCAAGCAAGTACATAGGAATTTTTAAATAAATCTTTACTCCAAGATTCACTTAGCTTTGGTAGAATGAAGAATCAGCATCTACTTACCTGGTCAATACAAAGGAGTTGGCATTCTTTTGACGAAATGTTGAGTCAAGCTGCATAGGTACAATCAATAGACACACCTGCATCTTCAAACACCTGCTGATCACAGAAATGTGCAGAGAAAGGCACAGATTAACCTGATTAGTTAACCAAAATGGTTGGACCTCTGTTTTTGTAGAGGCATAAATTATATTTTTTGAGAAATCAGATCTTTAACAACCCGGTAATAAAATCTGAATTCATCTTCCTAATAGAAAATTAAAACATGGATTTATTGGCCAGGTTCAGTGGCCCATACCTGAAATCCCAGCACTTTGGGAGGCTGAGGTAGGCAGATCGTGAGATCAGGAGATCAAGACTATCCTGGCCAACAAGGTGAAACCCTGTCTCTACTAAAATTACACAAAATTAGCTGGGCATCGTGGTGCATGCCTGTAATTCCAGCTACTCGGGAGCCTGAGGAAGGAGAATAGCTTGAACCAGGGAGTGGGAGGTTGCAGTGAGTTGAGATTGTGCCACTGCACTCCAGCCTGGTGACAGAGTAAGACTCCATCTCAAAATAATAATAATAACATGGATTTATCTAGTGATAATAATATCTCAACTATTCATAAAGAATGAGGTGATCCACAGGAAAATCCTATGAATATGCATAGCACTAACCAAAAATAAGGCATTTGTATTGTTTTCGGTGATAATGTTAGAGCAGTATGAAATATCCAGAACAGGTAAGCCCAAACAAACATGGAGGGGAGAGGAGAGTAGCCATGACTGGCTAATGGAGAGTGGAGTTCCTTTGGGAGTGATGGGTATGTTTTGGAACTAGATACAGGTGATAATTGTGCAGCAGCGTGAATGTATTGAATGCCACTGAATTGTACACTTTAACATCATTAATTCTGTGTTATGTGAATTTTATTACAATTAAAAATATGAGTTAGGGCAGCATGTACCTACCACACTCTAGAATGACTGTTGCATAAACTGTTGGACATAAACATACAAATGCAAAAAGATTTATACTAAAAGAGTCAGCTATCCAACACTGCCCATTCCCAAAAGTGTCAAATTGTCATGATTTAACATAGTACCATCAGACTTAAAACAAGAGTGTTTCTAGATCGAGGAGTTTTCAAACTTAAGCATTCAAATATCTAGCTAGTATTAAATCAGTACAGTGTGACCCAAAAAAGTGAGATGAAACTGACAAAACAAAACAATTAGTTTAAATATCAGGAGATGTTGCCTAATGGTGAAGTCAACTAGATTCTGAAAAGAAAGTTATCCAAATCTTATAATTTGGGTCATTAAAATGGATCTGAAAAAAAAAAGAAAAAGGATCTGGAAAATACTCTCTGTACACTAATTTTTTACTGGCGCGGGCAGGATATAATGACAGAATGGGTGTTTTAGTTTCTGAGGCCAATTGCCAATGGTTCTGGCTTTCTTATGGCTTGTACATAAAACCTCAGATTCTTTCAGTAACTTCTACTGAAGAATTTATCTTGTGGAGAATTTGAAACACAGAAGATGAAAGACATTTCAGGGAAAAAAAATCACCTCAAATTAAATTCCTAAAACAAATCAAATTTATATCACTGTCATATAGATATTTTTTAAGTCTTTGGTCTTGGCATAGATTAATTCTGTGTTTTAACTCATTCCTCTGGTCATTTTAAATTAAAAGCCCAAATAATTATGTTATATAGGGTGAGTAATATTTCAGGTCACATAAATATATGACATCACCAGCTCTCCCCATGGATAAACACACTGAAGGAAAATAATGTAAAAAGGAGGGAAGAATGAGTCCATACCCTCACTTCCCCCCAGTCCTCAGAAGATGGTTGCAAGAATGAAAAGAGTAATTCACGTTGCTTCTTCATTCATACTTCTTTGTTGCTTTTGAAGATAGTAATCAATCCGGAAGAGTAAAGTCCTTCTAAACTCCTCTCAGAGATTCCTGGTGCCTGAGGTGGGCTGTGCATTTACATTAGAAAGCATGGCTACTAGTGACAATATTATAACTGTGGTAGCTGACATTTATTGAGTACCTTCTGAGGCAGAAAGAGATTAATTATGTAACTTGCCCAAAGTTGTATAGTTGGTAATCTGTGATACTGGGCTAAGCACTTAAACAATTTAAACATCAACCACTTAGGCATTCTGTCTTCTGGAACATAATAAATATGAATACCCAGCTCTTTGGGAGGCCGAGGCAGGCGGATCACAAGGTCAGGAGATTGACACCATCCTGGCCAACATGGTGAAACCTCATCTCTATTAAAAATACCTTAATCCCAGCTACTCAGGAGGCTGAGGCAGGAGAATTGCTTGAACCCAGGAGGTGGAGGTTGCAGTGAGCCGAGATTGCGCCACTGCACTCCAGCCTGGCGCCTGGTGACAGAGCAAGACTCTGTCTCAAATAAATAAATAAATATGAACACCTAGCCATATCTAGATGATGAGAGAAGGCTTCCTGGTAAAGGTGCAGCTCCCAATACAAATCTTGCAGAACAAGATTGTATCCAGTTCAATGGATGAAGAAGAGGTAGAAGTCAGGCCCAGAACAGGGAATAACATGAGCAAATGTTCCAACCTGTGAAACAATATGGTATGTCCAGATAATCACAAGGCATTGTGTGTTATTGGGCTTTGAGACAGAAAATAGATAAGTTTGGATTTATGGAGAAGAGTGAGATTGTAGATGACTTTTATGTTGTGCAATGAAGCTTTCATTTTATTCGAGAGATAAGAGGCTGCTGAAAGAGGAAATTTCAAGGTCTTTCGATAGATTCCTTTGATGATAGCACAGAGAATGCAAAGTTGGGGCAAGGCAAGATTGGAATTAAGACAGTCAGCTGGGGGATATCCCAATAGTTTGGGTGAAAAAAAGATGAGGATATAAATTATGATGCTGAAAGGTGGGAACAAATTGAGGAGCATATGGGAGGTAAATCAGTATGACACATCGAATATAGGAAATGAACAATATAAAGAATGATTGTCAGGCTTCTCTGATGGTAGCAACTTGGGTAATATAGAAAAAGGAGCAGGTGGGGCTGAGATGAATTCATTTTGGAGTATCATGAGTTTGAGGGGGTTTGTAAAACATCCACTGGAGCTGTCAGGCAACCTCTGGGTCTGCAAATTTAAAATTCAAGGAAAAGTTCAGGACCAGAGCCACAGATTTGTGAGTCATCCATTCACTCACTGAACAAACATTCATAGAAAAAAAAACAGCTTGCTTCAAAAGCAAGGAGGACCTTATAAGTCCTATTAAGGAATTTCAGCCTTTCCTGTAGTTAGCAAGGAATGAATGATGAGATTAAGCATCAGAGAAATAAGTTCAAACTCACATTTTCAGAAGATCACGCTGACAAATATATAGAGATAGTAGTTAGCCCAAGTAGGGAGAAGATAGGCCAGGGAAAGTGCATAGAATAACATGAGCAGCAACTCTAGGAGGGGAACTTCAGATCATCAACATGGGCAAAGAGAGGAAAGTCCAGAGAGAAAACCAACCTGGAAAGATTGAGAGAGGTGGCAATGTATCATGGACACCTAGGCAGTAGGGTACCAAGAAAGATAAGGTAGTCGACAAATCAAGTAAATCAAAGTGAGAAGCACTGTAAGATAAATAGTGAGTTGTGTCCATGGTGCCAAATGATAAGGATTTCCCTGGTGAATTTTGCAAAGTTGCAATGAAAGGATGAGTGAATAGTGAAATGTAAATTCAAACCACAATAAAATATTACCTCACACTTGTTAGAATGACTTTTGTCAAAAAGAAGAACTACAAGCATTGATGAGGCTGTGGAAAGTCTTGGACACTGTTGGCAAAATATAAATTAGTTGCAGCCATTGCAGAAAATAGTATATAGATTCCCTTCAAAATAAAAATAGATCCAGCAATCTATTGATTCAGTCATCATACTTCTGGGTGTACATCCAAAAGAATTGAAATGGGTATGTTGAAGGGATATCTTCACTCCCATGTCCATTGCAACACTATTCACAATAGTCAAATTTTGGAATCAACCTCAATGTTCATCAGCTGATGAATGATGGGTAAAGAAAATATGCTATATATACACAATAGCATACTATCCAGCCTTGAAAAAAAATCCTGTCATTTGTGACAACATGGATGAATCTGGGGGAGATTGTACTAAGTAAAACAAGTCAGGCACAGAAAGGCAAAGACCACATGATCTCACTTATATGTGACATCTAAAAAAGTTGAACTCAGAAATAGAGAGTAGAATGGTGATTACCAGAGGCTGAGGATGGGAGGAGAAGGAGGGAATGGAGAGTTGTTAGTCAAACAATATAAAGTTTCAGATCGATAGGAGGAATAATTTTGAGATCTATAATACATAATAATGTATTGTATATTTCAAAATAACTAATAAGTAAATTACAAATGTCTCACCAAAAAAAAAGGTGAGGTGATGCATATTTTAATTAGCCTGATCTAATCATTTCACATTGCTTACATATGTCAAAACATCAAATTGTGCCCCATGTATATAAACAATTGTGATTTTTCAGTTAAAAGTAACATTAATTTTTAAGGCCAGGCACAGTGACTCATGCGTGTAATCCCAGCACTTTGGGAGGCCAAGGTGGGTGGATCTCATGAGGTCAGGAGTTTGAGACCAGCTTGGCCAACATGGTAAAATGCCATCTCTACTAAAAATACAAAAATTAGCTGGGTGTGATGGCGTACACCTGTAATCCTAGCTACTCAGGAAGTAGGCCAGGCACAGTGGCTCACACCTGTAATCCCAGCACTTTGGGAGGCCAAGGCGGGTGGATCATGAGGTCAAGAGATCGAGACCATTCTGGTCACAATGGTGAAACCCCATCTCTACTAAAACTACAAAAAGTTAGCTGGGCATACTGGCACGTGCTTGTAATCCCAGCTACTCAGGAGGCTGAGGCAGGAGAATTGCCTGAACCCAGGAGGCAGAGGTTGCGGTGAGCTGAGATTGCGCCATTGCACTCCAGCCTGGGTCGAGAGTGAAACTCTGTCTCAAAAAAAAAGTAAGATTAATTTTTTAAAGAAAGAGTACAAACTACTCTTTAAAGAAGCATCATGTTAATAGAAAGAAGAGAGACAAAGGATATTTTTCTTAAGACGAAAGAGATTTGGGCATTTTTATAGACTGAGAAGAAGGATGCATCACACACAAAAAAGCTAAAGATAAAGATGACTGATAAGGAGGCAAGACAAGGAGTTGGTCTTAAACACATTGACTTCTTGCCTTACTGCAACTTTTCAGACCTAAATTATGCAATATCTTTTCAATATAAAAAAGGTTTGTATTTTTTGAGATTTCAGCTAAATGGGTTTGAGCTAAATGGGCTTAGCATGGATACATCCATTTGGATCTATCACAGACTAATCCTTGTTTTGGACTCTGGATTCCAAATCTTATTTGTACTTCTCTTTGGCATTTGTTGAATATTTGTGGCCTGCTTCTGTTCAGGGGCATCCATGGGTCTGATGGATGTGTTGCTTTGCCTCCTTTCAGACTTTTCCCTGCTCAAAGTCACTGCAAATCCCAGATGCCTTCCGTGGTAGCCGGCTTCCCACAACTTGAAACATTGTTTTAAGTTAATGTCTGCCTAGGGTTACTAGTTTGCAACAAATGTGAAAAAATCCTAGTACTTGCTGACGATATCAGGGGTGAATTTCCGAAGAGAAAATCTGACAGAGGGAGGACTCTCCTTCCACAGACGCAGCACCACAGCCTTCTTTCTATGAAGACTCAGGATTGCTGAATGTGGGAGGACCGGAGGCTCTGTAGGTTCTGAATATCTGGCTGCGGTGATGGTGGTGGAAGTGGAAATGCAAGTCCCCACAGTTATTTTTGTTGGTGAAATAGAAAGTCATCTTATTCATGAAGGAAAATAGAAAGCTCAGAAGAGTACAAAATGTAAAAG